TCTGGTCAGAGTATGGTGGAGATTGTAGAGTCTGGTCAGAGTATGGTTGAGATTGTAGAGTCTGGTCAGAGTATGGTGGAGATTGTAAAGGCTCCGCTGCTCTCCTTGCAAGTCTAAAGAATAACGTCTCTGAGTCTGTTTTTTCCTGCATTGTGTTTTTACTAATGTTTTTGATTCAACCCTGACACCTCCCTGGGAACGACCCGATTTCGGATAAGCGGAGGATAATGGATGGATGGATGGATGGATGGATGGATGGATTCAGAGACAGAAAGAGTCTTGCTTGTTTTTAGCCCCATAAAAGTGTTAAATGGCTTTGATAATGGCACCGACACGACCTGTAGGCTCACAGAGAAGAGCAGTTTGATCGGCCCTTTTTGTCCTAGCTGGGCTAACATGGGGTTTCTATTTTAGCTTCCTTTGTCGGTGTCTTTATTGGGTCCATGTGCTGATGCCCATTGGTTTTTACCGGTCCTCAGCATTCGCAAACGACTATCTGGCTGCTTCATCCCTCCATTCTTAACATGTAAAAACGCCAGAAGTTGGCGAACGTTGGCTCCCAGAACAGAATCTACATGGACACGTGTCATATTTGATATGTAGATTTCATAGACTTGTTGCATCATCATGTCAATAAAGCTTTGTTTAAAAAAAACTAGAATGTTTTTTCACTGTTTTGTAATATAATTTATTCAAAAGTTTATTTGACAACAAACAAAATAAACAAAAATCAAATCTAAATATACATATATATGTATATGTATGTATATATATATATTTAACCCTGTAATGCCAAATGTATCATATTTGATACATACGGTTTCTGAAATGTTTTGCGTCTGACACCTTTTGCATAATTTAATGGTAAAAACTTTGCTCAAAATCCTATTGTACACAATCAGATACACCTGATAACAGGGGGCAGAAGACTACACAAAAAATAATCTTGACTTATCGCATACTAATAAATTATTAATATCAAAAAGGTATTTCTGTTTATTATTTTAAAAAATATTTTGTTAAAAAACCAAATAAGGAATTCAACCCAAAAAATAGTAATTTTCTGTTTTGTTTTATTCTTGGATCAGGCTTTAAAGGGATAAATATATATATAAAGAGAGAGAAAGAGAAACAGGGAGAGAGAGAGATACTACTATATTACTATACTACTATGAAAAGTATATATGCATTTATTTAATCTTTAATAGAATTATTTGATAAAGTATAAAGAGTTGGTCCATTTATTCCCATCAGGCTTTGTGGGGTCAGGATTTACTCTGTCTTTTCTGTCAGATCTTTTTGAAGCCCGGCTAAAGCTAAGCTAAGCTAAACTAAGCTAAGCTAGCCATCCCCCCTCTGACGAGACTTTGGTCCTCACCTCTTCATTGTTTCATTGCTTTTTCATCTCCATTTCATCGACTGTAATTCATTTTAACTTAATAGTTTCATCAGTCATCTTTTTGTTAACATTAAGAACCTGGCTGATTTTACATTTGCTTTAAAAAAAAAACGAGTATGACTGAAGATAATTTAACGTGAATTCTTAAAGTGACAAATGCCTTTTTTTTAAAGGTTTTTTTTTTTTTTTTTTTTTTTTCTCCAACGACTCTCCATTCTCCGGTCGGGAGGTAGATGACAGCCGCTCTCCTCCCAGAGGACGGGTGCTAGTGGGCAGTGGTGGATCGAGCGCGCCGTGTCTCTCCCCCTGCATGGATCTGGACGTTCGTCCATCACCAGAGACGGTGATTGCCGGACCTTGACTTGTGAATGTGGGCCTCTCTGCCCGGGACTGGACCACCTGCAGCATCTCCTTCAACATGGACAACTGCAGGTGGCTTTCATAAGGCATCATAGAGAGAGAGCTCTCCACCACCTGGAGATTTATCTCCTCAGGTCTGAATGAGTGCTTTACTGTCTTCACTGTGTTGTCCTTAGACCAGCTCTTCAGGAACTTCTCTGGGTCACTCATTTCCAGGAAGGCTCTGACCTGCCTGTCCATTTCTACTCCCTCAGACAGAGCTGCTTCAGCTTTTTTTAAGGTGTCCATCATTTTGTTAACCTCAACCTCCTCTTTCTGCTTCAGCTCCTTCTTTATCTCCTCTTCCCTCTTGTTCAGGAACCGATGCATCTCCTCAAACTGGCTGCTGATTTGGCTCGTCAGCTGCTGGGACTTCGCTTTGGTTTTGGTTAGTTGATCCCTCTGTTTGTTTGCTGTTTCTTCTATGGTGACT